TGAAAATGAGTTTGACACCCCTGCTTTAAAGTGACCCAGGAATGGTCCAAGCTTGCTATTTAAATATGTATTTGTACATGTTATACTATATATGAAATAGTATGGTTTAGTTTTATTTTGTAATATTTGATTATTTGATACTTTCAGAACTGTTTACTGAAAAAAAAATATATATATACATGTGCTGTTCATCAGTGATTGGCTCGACCACTAGTAAACTTTCATTCAGGTTCATCACGTCTGTCTTTTTTTGCTTTAGTTTTTGTCTGTCACTGTCCAGTTTTGTCTTCTTGTGTGTCTTGTTGCTTCTTACAAATTGACTCATCAATGCCAGGTGACATGATGATATCTTCAGTGACTTACGCCTGGGGCAGAATTACAGTTGTGGCGTTTCCAGCGCCGGTATTGATCGTTCTTTTCCCTCAGACTTACTCATAGATCAATGCGGTCGATGCAGCCATTGTGCTGGACACTGATGGGAAGAGCGAACCATGTTAGCTCTGCTCAGAGTCAATAAGACATTTAGTGTAAAAACAGTCTCACAAAAGAATGACCGAGTTAAGGCCAGCAGCTGGTTCACAATCAAAATGTCGAATTCATTCTTCCTACAAAATTAGGAATTTCATTTTTTTTTAAAAGATAGCTAAAGGTTAGCAGAAAACGTTTATAGTTAACTTGAGAAAAAAAGATAAATAAAGCTTAATTCCAACCCAATGAAACCCCTTAATAAAAAAATAAAAAAAAAAACCTGCATGGCGAACCATGTTAGCTCTGCTCAGAGTCAATAAGACATTTAGTGTAAAAACAGTCTCACAAAAGAATGACTGAGTTAAGGCCAGCAGCTGGTTCACAATCAAAATGTCTAATTCATTCTTCCTACAAAATTAGGAATTTCATTTTTTTTAAAAGATAGCTAAAGGTTAGCAGAAAACCTTGCAATGCCCCCCTTGTCCCTCCCCACACACAAAATGTCACTTCTACCAACTGACCGACGTTGGCAGGGCTAGCATTAAATGGACAAGTGTAAGGTATCCTGTTTTTTTTTTTGTTTGTTTTTTTTTATCTTTTCGGGTGGTTGCGCGAAACGTTTTATGAACCAAAGGGGGGGCCCAGCAGGGAAAGCATTGTTTGTTTGTAACAAATGGAAACGAGTGTTGAACATTAATACATTCCACTCTGACCATCGCTGCGTCCGCTAATGTGTTTTTCTCCGTTTAATGGCTGATCACTTTGGATCCACTTTGCCGTGACCTGTTGCTGATTTTCAAGTAAAAACCTTTTAACCGCCATGACACAGCACCTGTTTATCACTCTGAGAGCAGCAGAGACAGTCTCCTGTCTCCCCTGGGGCTGAAACCAGCTTGTGCATCAGGAGCTGAAGTGGTTCGGACAAAAGTTTGGTCTGTTCTTCGTTGACTTGGGAATTGTTTGAAATCTGTTGGTTACTCTTCATTCATTCATTCAAAACACACAGGGGTAAATAGTCCCGCAGTAGGAGATGATCAAATTCTGTTCGTTTCGATGTTGATTCCAATTGATTACAAAAACTATAATGTCCCCAATGGGAAAAAACACATTCACACACATACATTTCTAGCCTTTCAAAAGGTACATTATCTCCTTACGCTGAATGTCTTACGACCAACTTCGGAAGAATGAGAAAAGTTGGAGAAGCTAAACCACCTCAACGTCCTCCTTTTGGTCCGAGTTCATTTCAGCGTATTGTGGCAGTGCACTAAAATGGAAGCAAAATGTAGGTCTCTTAGGTAACTTGCTTTGCCTTATCAGTAAAATCGTTATTACCGTGCGAACTCGTTCGTTCATTAACGCTGACAATTGACACATCATTCTTTAATTATTTTCTTCAGTTTGTAAAAGTCTGTTGCTCAGCACGCCGCTCACTGGCCTGCGTCTCCGTTCAACTCCTCCTCCTCAGTTCCCGGGGGCACCTCGGGTTTGTCATGCTGCAGCCTCCTTAGCGCTCGGCAGCACTAACAGCTGCCGCCAGTGTAAACACCAGCATCACTGGTGAAATCCAGTATAAACATGGACTTTACAGACTAGTCTCCTGCATACTAAATCCGAGCTGTGAAATTTTATTTTGTGCTTAACCTCACTCTTTGGTACCGAACATAGACTGGTTTCACTGGTGCTCTCTGAAAAAATGTTATTATTGTGTTTTAGTTTCTTTTATATATATCAAAAACAGGTTATTATTGCCCTGGCTTTTGAATTGATTTTTTGGTTTTGCATAACAATGAGATTAATCACAATTAATCGCAAAAAAGTCATGTGATAAATCGTGATTAAAACTTGTAATCGTTGCGAAAAGGCATTGCAATATATGTTTTATATTTCATCCATCCATCCATTTTCAACCGCTTATCAGTCTCCAGTGGTGAGTCCACTGGAAGGTACCAACCGCCCTAACCGGGATTCGAACTTTCCCAGGAGGTGAACCCTGGGGTTCCACACCAATGACAGGGACATCGTCGTCGACAGAGACATCGTCTCTGGGCCAAAGCTCCACTTTTTATTTTTTTATTTTTTAATCAGTATTTTGTTTTCAAGAGATTTGAGAGTTAGGTTTTATTTTGATAAAAGTTTGATAAAGTATCACAGTTGCCTTCATTGTGTGCCATAAATTCACTGTGTTTTCACAATCAATAAGAACGTTAAATTAGCCTGCTAAAAAAATTCACTGTGTTTTCACAATCAATAAGTAATCACGCTAAATTAGCCTGCTAAAAGATAAGGAGTGTAGCGAAATAATTCGTACCTCATGGACAACACACATACATTCACTGTAGGAGCTTAAAGGTGAAAAATAATGAGTTTACCTTAGGTGCTAGGAACTAGGGACGCCCCGATACAACTTTTTCATGTCCAATACCGACACCGATACTTCAACTTACATCTGCCAGTACCAATATCAATACCTTCATTTCTGCTCCATCATGCTGCTTGCTGCTGCACCAATAGTATACCTGTTTAAGGCATGTGGTGCAAAGTTAGGTTGAGCATGAGGTATCAGATCGGAAGGGTTAGTTGTTGTTATTCATATGTTCGATACTGACGTTTTGACCAATTCAGACCGATACTGATCCTAAGTATCGGATGGAGCCATCCCTAACAGGAACTGCAACGGCTTATCAATACAACTGACTATATCACAATATTACTTCATGTGTAATCCATGGCAGCAGGTGGCCTGGTGGTCAAGGAAGCAGACTTGTGTCTGCGAGGTCACAGGTTCAATTCTTACCAGCCACCAGGTGTCACTGAGGTGCTCTGAGCATGGCAGTGTGCCCACAGTGATCACATCCGTGCTGAGCAGTGATCATATTTCAAACCCGGGGTGCAAGGGACTGTGAGCTTGCTTAACAGTCCCCCACAGCCTGCCAAGGTGGGATTCAAACCTGGGTCTCCTGATAACAAGCTCGATCCTCTTACCACTTAGCCACGGGCTGCTGTTAACTGTCGTGTTGCAAATAGATTAAATTAAAAAAAAAAAAAAAAAATTTTTTCCCTCAAGAGCAGTTTTGCCCCCCCGGCAGATAAAAAAACGGCCGCGTGAA